TTTTCTTAAGAGCCTCTTAAGAGTTTACATTATTAAATTCTCCACCAAGACATTTTGAAAGAGTCTATTATAATAGGTTTTGGTACAAGTATATGTTTCTATTTTGGAGTATCATCAATCAAACATTTAAGCCAAGATGTCTCAACCATATCCTTATTTAATATTCTCATATTCCGCTTAATGTTATTGAACATTTATATACAATATATAATTATTAGATTATAAATCAAATTAGATTGCATGCAATAATATAAAATACCTTGTTCCATTAATAAAATTTTCATATAAGTAATGATTTAGGAGAATAAATAATCTCTTTAAATTTACATAAACTTATCTTAGTTTCAATCAAATTATAACAAAGAAGATTAATTATATTAATATTTTCATATGGTTATCAAACTATGATACTAAAAAAGTATGATTAAATTACCAAATTATTATAATAAACAATTAAATGAAAATTTATCATAAAGTATGAATAATATAATAGTACATATATACTAAATCTACTATTTTTATGATATTGCAATAAAAGATATCTAATATAAGATAGATTGATACAATTAAAAAAGTAAATTAATTAATATAAAATAAATTTCATTTTTAATATAATATTTCTTGATTTATCTTATATCAAATAATATATTATAACATGAGTTAATATTACAATTAATAAACCAGAATTATTAGAAGTATTAGAATAAAACTTATTTTTATTAGTTTTAATGAATTTAATTAGAATTTTAATTAAAATAATTTAATATTATTAGTTTATTAATATGAATCACTAATTAATTATTCAATAAATACATTAAAAAATATAAAAGATATATTTAAATGATATTTAAAAAAAATATATCAATTTGATTATTTTGAATCTGTTCTAATCTATATTAGATTCTTATCTCCATCTATTTATTCTTAAAATTAGTGTTATATTCTTTATAGAATTACATTGATTCTTATTTTCAATGACATCATCATTTTTATTTAAGAATAGGATCAAATCTAATTAAGATTTCTAAGTTAAGATTATTATTTTCAGACAATCTTTAATATCAATCAAAGAAGAAAGATGTTTAGTTATTGCATTAAAAATTATATATTTATTAATGGGGAACCATAATTCATTTTATTCAGAAAACCTTCAAGAAATTTATAAAATGCAAATGGTAATGTTCATTAATTATTCTTAGATGTAATGGTATGTTGGAGTAGAAAAAGAAGTTTAAAAATTAGGATTTAATGTAAATGTAAGATCAGACCATTTTCATAAACAAAACTTTATGCAATTATATACAATCGTTAAACCATAACACGAAGAAATTGTTACTATGAGTACTACAGAATCCTTATTTGCTACAGAGTTTGAAAATATTAAGAGATCCAAGAAAACTCTGGATCCTTTTAAAGAATTCTATGTTACGACTCTGATATAAGATAATGATCCCTCTTTATAAGAGTTTGAAAGATAAGTACTTTAATAGTTATCTACATTAAATGGTTGTTTGTTGGAAATTTTTTAAACTTTTAGACAAACTTAACTGCCTAATTGCAGTAAAGAATTGGATTAATTTATTGTTATGTTTCGAGATTCATTTGTTTAAGTATATTATTCTATATATATATATATATTAGATCTTAATTCATTACTATGATTTGAATTTATTTGCTTCATTAAACAAATGTAATTTCTTAAATACATCATCTCTTTAATGTTTAGTATCCAATATGATATTTAATGATTAAGTTGCCTCACATGTTTACTAAATAAAAAAGTTAGAATAAATCTAAGAAAATGAAAAAATACACAATAAATTATAATTTCTAAAAGAGAAAACATTAGCTGATTTTGGAATTTCTATTAAATATTGTCTAGATTGTACAACTAGAGAGTATATTTAAAGTAAACAATCATCAAAAGCTAACACATGTTGTTAAAGTTAATAAATTACAAAGAAAGATACTTTTGAAACACTAATTATTGAAGATGTTGATTCTACTTAATTACCTTCAAGACCATAAGCTAAATTATTATAAGGAACATTTTTCTTATAATCTCCATTTTAAAATGCTATTGAAGCTCTAAAATTGATATAATTTAGATAAACACCTCATCATAAGGTTAAATAATTAGTCGCTTGTTTTAGAAGTATCTATTCTGCCATCATAGATTATTACAATTAATATACAAAATAACCATCAATAATAAGCACAGATGAAATGATACCAATTTTTCATTATGTACTTTGTAAGTCTTCACTATAAAATCCTTACACACACTTTGAAATTATGTAAAAGTATTTAGGCAATCTAGATGGACTTGAAGGATTCTATTTAGCTATAATGGAAGCAGTATTTAACATAGTCTGAAATCTTAATGATTATTCATATTTTTTCTCTTTCCAATTTTTATAAACTTTAATATAAATATAAATATTTTTAGAATTAAAGAATAATTGAATAATTTTTTAAGTATTTAATCAAATAATAGTTATTTAAATTAATGAAGATTAATATAAAATTTGTTTAAAGTCAATCCAAATCTATAAAATTAGATGTTAATATGAATAAACTATAATACTAAAATAATAATATTATATTAAGGATATTATTCAAAAAAGATATTTAATGAAGGAATCTTAAAAAAGTAGAAATTTCAATCTATTTGTTAATATAATTTTCTCATAAATTATTCATAAACATATATGATTATTACTTATAAACAATTAATTCTAAATTTATAATTTTTTATTAAATATTTGTTTTATCAAATATATTTGATATTATGGAAAAAGAAATTATTTCAAGACTTAATTAATTCTTCCAAAAAATAGAAATTTTTGATATGAGGTAAAAAGTTATTTATAAGAGACTTTCTGAGGTAGAGGAATTTTAGAATTCATTTATTCAATTTCTATAAATAGATGGATCATTTTCTTATACTAAACTTAGTGATATAATATCACAAACTCAATAATAAAATACTTTAGATAAATAAAACAATTCATTAATAATAGAATTAGAATAAAATTTTAATAATCAATTAAAGTTTATATAAGATTAAATTTAATAAATTAACAAGAATGAAGAATTAGAATAAAGCTGGAAAGATAAAATTGATAAGGATATTAAAAATATATCAAAATTAATAGAAGAAATTTAATAATAGAAATAATAGATTAAAAATATTGATAATGATAGAAATTTGTAAAATTTGAACAATCCATAACCAATAAAAAATGTTATTTTTGATATTTATTCTAAAACCACTAAGAGTAGAGTAGTTTAAGGAGAATTTTAATATTTTATACATTAAATATAATCATAAAGTGAATTAGGAAAATATTATAATTTAAAATTAGATTAGAAAAAAAAAATATATTCATAAATCTCAGGGTTTAGATAAGTAAGAGGAGATGGGAATTGTTTTTATACATCTTTTGGATTTCAATATTTATAATTATTAATAGATTAATATGATTAGAATGAATATGATTAATTTTTGAATTCAGTCATTAAAAAAATGAGATTTAGAATTTAATATCCAAACAATAAAATAGAAGATGAAATTACAGAAACTAATTTAAGAGAAGATTTCATAAAAAGATTAAACTTTATAAGAGATATAAAAAATAAAGAAATGAGAATAAAAGAATTAGATAAACAATTTAGAGCTTATGAATAAGAAGATGAATTAGTTGATGGATGTTTTTATGCTTTATCAACTATTTTCTTTAGAAATTTAAGCTTATATTTTATAGATTAAAGTGAATATAAAGACAATTTCTTAGATAAAGATACTCTATTATAATGGGAAGTTGAATGTAACAATAATGAAATAGTAATTGCTTTATTAGCTTAATAATTGAAGATGTAATCATATATAATAATTTTAGTAATATTTGCGTATTCTTATTTGATAAATAACAATTTTAATTGATGGAATATAATAAAGAAGCTAAATAAAAAATTATTTTATTATTATAACCAGGACATTATAATATTGGAATTCCTAAAATTGAAGAATGAAAATAAAATATGAGAATATAGGTATTAATTTATGATAATTTAAATTCTTTTGATGAAGTTTACTTATTTTTTAATTAATTTAAGATAAGAGTATTAAGTTTGTTATTTTTATATATTTCTATTAATTTTTTGATCTATAATTATGTTCAAAGTAAATTCAAATTTCTATTACCCACAAAGATTTATTTAATCTGCTATAATTGAAATTGTTCATTGTAGAAAAAGGATAATTAAAACGAGGTTTACTCTTAATTCTTTAAGTTTTAATAATAGGGACTCCAATGTTTGAAACAGGTAATTTATAATAAATTTAATCTTTATTAGTTGTTTTAAAGTCATTTACAGTTTTATTTAATTTATCCTTAGTTTTTATAATTTTGAATGGAGTATTAGATAAATTCATTATATATTTCTTTTTAACTTATTGAGTTTTTGATTTTCTAGATGTTTTTGGTTTATATTAATAAAAATTAGTTTCAGTCTTTCCCATTTACCTATTTAGAATATCAATTGCTATTGATTCATCCAATTTATGTAAATCCTTAAAGTTTAAACTTTATCTCATTTATTTTTCTATTTTCCATGTTTAATTAGTAACATTTGATATATCAACAGAATTCTTTTTTTTTTCTTCATATGTGTATTCTTTTTAAATATATTATTTAATATTAATTTATCTTGGTTCAGTTAAATATTGAAATTTCAATTCTTACTTATTAGCTATAAATTTAATAGTTTTATTTTTTTTATCAGTTTCTTTGATTATATGTATTTATTTCAATAATTTTTATGTTTCAGATGTATTTAAAATTTGACTTCCTGTATGATCTGTTCTTGTTGAAAGCTATTTAGAAATACTTTATTATAGACGAGCAGATAATTAATTTATATTTTGCATATTTCTATATGAATTATAAAAGTAATTATGTAATATAATAAATAAATTTTATTTTTTAAATAATTAGATCATCTTTATTTTTTGGTAAGTATTTTTTTAATATTTTTAGGAAGTTTAGTTTTTCTTTTTTCTCTTTTTTCCTCTTTAACTTTTTATTTTCTTTCTTTTTTTGTAAGTCCATCATATTTACATAATCCACCCTTCTTTTTTTTTTCACCATCTTCATTTTAATTTTCAGGATCCTATTCTTAATCATCATCATTATCACTTAATAAAGATACATCTGATGATGAATCTGAATTACAATCTTAATCATCCTTATTTGATTCATCATCATCTTCATTTGAATCTTCATTATCATCCAATTCATTTCCATTATTTAATTATTAAAGTTCTAAATTTGCATTCTAGAAATCTGCTATAGTTTTACCAATACTCTCTCCACCTTTTTTAAATGCATTCAATTCAGATTCTATTATTTTTTATGGTAAATCATTCAAATTCTTTGGCTATATAGCCCCAACAAAAACTTTATCTTATTCTTCCTCCAAATCTTCATTGATCTATTCTCTTTCTTCTTACATTCTCTCTAATTCTTCATTGATATTTTAAAGATGAGGATTTGTAATAAATTTATACAATTATCTAAGAGTAAATGTCATGATATCCTAAAATAATATATATATATATATACCTTTTTCTTAAAATATTGATTGATATTATAAATATCCCTTTTTAAAAATTCAGATGCACTATGATGATCACTTTCCATACTTTATGATACATCTATAAAGTATACTTTATTCTTATAATATAATAGATTGTATTCACTCAAATCACCATGTATTAATTTACATTCTTAATATAATATCCTCATGCATTTTACAACTTACATGTAAGCATCTTCATAAAGTACATCTGTTGCATCTTTTAATCTAGGAGCAGGAGTCATATCTTCACCTATAAATCTCATTACTATAATATTGCTCTTAACAGAAATAGGTTCTGGACATGGTATTGATGATTGAAATATTCTTTTATAATTTCTTAACTCTTTTTCTGCCCATAATCTTACCATTTTTCTTGGGTTTGATTTACAATGACCATTTCTAAAACGAAATTCACCAGATACATATTTATCTCTATCTTTAAATACAAGAATTGAAGTCTTATAAACTTTTATTGCATATTCTAGATTATTAAAATCCCATCCATGATAAACATTAGCCTCTTTACCAGTTGAAATACAACCATTTATTTCTTTTAAGAACTTATTATTAATCATTTTCATCAGAATAACTCTTGTTCTTGGATCCAAACATTATTCTACTGTAGCTCTATCTTCTTTATCTTTGATTCTAGTCTGTCGATATTCTCTTTTTGATCTCCTATCTTCATAAGCATATTCAGGATCATCAGGTATCTCTTTTTATTGTGTTTCTTCTTCCTCTTATTCATGATAAGTTTTCTCAGCCTCTTTGGTAATTTAAGCCATTAAATAAAAAATTATAATTTATGAATATTTAAAAAACCATGTTCATTATCTGAGATGAGATTGTAATTTCTTTAATCAAATCATATAAGAAATAGAATTTATCAGTCTGGATTGAATATATGATAACTAAAATGCAAATCAATATCATTAAAGATGAGGCAACTATCATTTTGTTAATAATTTACAATTTATTTACATATGATGGAATTTTCATTATAGAAAAATCAATATCAAATTGAAAGATAATTTATAGGATATACATTATTATTAATTATAGGGATGGATTATCAATTTTGTAAAATTTAGTATAATTTCGCTCTAAACTATTAGAAACAAGATTTTTATTTATTACTTTACATAATTTTAATTAAAAAAAAGAAGTGTAAAGCAAAAATTACAAAAAATTAATTATCTGATTTGTGAATAAAATAGGTATGATGTAAAATTATTGAATTAAATTTGTTAGTAATTATCAATTTCTTAATCCTATATTATAATGACCTGGTTAAATTAGTAAAATTATTTCATATTCTTAATTTTCTTCATATTATCTTAATTCAAATTATCCTGCTTAAAAAAATAATAATTTGATATTTCTATATAATTATAATAGAATACATTTTTAATTGTTATGCTAAAGTAGCTATTATTATTTCATTATTATTACACTCAGTTTCCCAAGTGATTAAATTTATTCTATCTTCAACATAAGTTTTCATGTCACTATATTCTAAGAGTTGATTACTAAGGTTTCTAAAAAATATAGTAGATAAAAAATAAAGGCATCCATTTCCATTATTCGAAATTTCAAATTCCCTAAATTATTGATAAATTGCATTTATTCTATCTTGCTAATTTTAGATTTTTCTTATTTATTAAAGAATATAAAGAAATTATTCAAGTAAGAGTTATTCAATTTTTTCATCATCTATTTAGAAATTTTCGTAAATAATTTTAAATTAAATTTTTTATTCCTTTACAAAATTGAAAAATTCATTAAATTAATTATCATCGAATTTTATTAGTAATAAATTCAAATATTAAAAACCAAATGCAGTATAAAAACAATTTCCATCCCCACGTACATATAATATTTTCTAACAATATTTTTTTAGATTATTTTTAACTGCTAGTTATTTAATAGAATAATGAGAAAATAATCCAGATATTTCATCGTATTATTAAAGATAATAACTGTAATTTTATTCTACTTTCCTCATTTAAGATGAAATTTAAGTTAATGATTTAGCTAATTCCACTGTTTTATCTAATCTTTTTTAATCAAATTTTATTTAATACGCTTTTGGTTATTTATTTTACTAATCTATATTATCTTTTTATTTATTTTATTCATCTATATTTTATTATTATGGTTATTACTACTCTATATTTTAATACAATTTATATTATTATTACTAATTGTTTTATTATTTAAATTGCTAATCTATATCTTCTGTTTATTTATTTACTTAATTTATATTTTATGTTTATTTTTATGACTTATCTATATTTTATTACTATTTATATTACTATTACTTTTTGTTTTATTATTTTTGAATATACTAATCTTTATATAATGGTTAATAATTTGACTAGTGATCTATTTTTTCTCTCTAGTTTATCAATTCCTTTTCTTAAGATTATTAAAAATTGGAATACATATTGCCTTCCTTTTTAATTGTGTTGTTATTTTTTTTATTTTTAGTAGTTTTAACTTATTATTGTGTCAATTACTGGTTATAACTGTTAGTCAGAATTTTTTTTTAATATTTAACTGGTGTTTAAAAATAATTGTTTTTCTCCTATTTTAGAATATTTTAATTATATGGAGATTTTGTAATTTTAGACTTATTTTCAATAGATTGTGATTTATTTTTTTTTTCTGATTTTTATTCTTACTTTAATTGATGAGATATATGTAGTTTTTAATTATTTTGCGTTAAATTTTTGTTATTTTTATTAAGTTAATTTGATCTTTGAGGAGACGGTGAGTTCTAATATTTAATAGGGATTTAATTCTTTTAAATTTTTTGATGATGGTTTATATTATCATTTTATAAGATAATTTGTGCAATATTTTAAGGAGAACCCTTTAAATATTTTTATTATTATAAATTTTGTTTATGATAATTCTCTCTTTCATAACCTTAAAACAATTATTGTTATTATTTTTAATCTATATTTTAATTTGGTGAACGTGTTTGGACGTTTCTTTTTTTTTTGATACTATCACGGTAATTCTAGAAACTTGCTGTGTCTTTCATATAATGAGGTGTAGGATTTTTTTTTTAAGACATTTTTTTACACTATTAATAATAAATAAAATTTTATTAATTAATAAATTTAACAACATCATTTTATGAATAATAATTGGTTTTATTCAAATCAAATAATTATTTTAAATATCAATTTCCTTATTTCTGAAATATACTTCTATTCCTAATTTATAGAAATTTTCGTTATTTTAATCTATTAAAAGAATCATAAATTGTTTATTATGCAAAATTTTATGTATAAAAGAATATAATCAAGTAAGAATGCTATTACTTAACTAATTTTATTGTTTATTTATAATATTTAATTTTATGATACTCATTATGAGACTGTATAATGTTCTGGACCAAGTATAATCTTTTTTCCATCTAATGTAAATTCAATATTTTATTGTAAATTTGGTAATACTAATAATGTTCTTATAATTGTATCAACTTCCTTTTCATTATATGTTTACTAAGAAATAACAATTAATTTATACCAACAATTATTATTTATTGAAAACTGGAGAATATTTAGTAATTAAAATGCTAAATTTATGGTTATCTACATCAGTGTCTTCTTTGCCAATAACATCTAAAAATTAGTGTTTATAATTCGATGAGAATATAGGTTTTTTAATTTAGTTTTTAATCCATGCAATTTCAGATTATATTGCATTTGATAATTCAGATTCAGCTTCAAATTAATAAAAGATAAGAATTTTATCTTCTAATTATATACCAAGTCTTTTTCTTAATTTTTATATTCTATTAGTGAATTCTCTTGCCAATCCAAGATTTTTGAGTTATTGAGTCTATGAAGGATCCACAATAATAGAAAATCCTTCTTCAGTTGCAAATAATAGTTATTTATGTTTTTCAGTGTTAAATTAATCAGTTATTTTAACATGTTTTAATAATAATTCGCAATCCATTTCTATTTCAATATATTCAACATTCTTTTTACCCTTTTTAACTTTAGGATCTGGTTATTGTTAAACTTATTATTCTTCAACTTTTTTTTCTTTCTTTACTTTAACTTTAAGTTACAATTTTCCATCTGTTTTGAGTGTACGTATTTATTCTTAAGTGAAATTACGAATTTATTAAATTAAATCTGGTCCAAATTTATCTTTCAATTCTTATCCACAAATTTTATTATCTGGTTCAGCCTTAAGTTAAATATATTATTCTATATTCTTTTCAACTAAGACTGAAGGAGTGTTAATTTCCTCTTCTATATATTTTGATAAGAATTAAACACTTTAAAGTAATTATTCATCTGTAGCTAATATTGTCAAACTATTAACTGGTTATTTTAGACTAATTTTATGAGTTTCTCTTAATTTTCTAGCAGATTCAACAACAATTTACATTTTTTCAATTTAAGATTCAATTTTAGGATCAATCAATTCCTTTCTGACTTCAGGAATTTAAAGGAAATGAATTGAATCTTAATTATTTTTACCTTATGGAATACATTTCTTGAGATTTTGATAAAATGATTCTGTAATGAATGGGACATATGGAGACATCAAAAGTGTGATTTTTAAAAGTACATCAAATAATACATTTAAACTTACAATCCATTCTTAATTACCTTAATCTCCCTTAATTCTGCTTCTATTTAATCTTACATACCAATTAGTCAATGTATCTAAATAACTAATTAATCTAGGAACTATAGTATAAAGTCTATAGGCTTCCATTTCATTTCTAACAAATTCAACTAATGTTTAACTACTAGATACAATCCACTTATCCATAGTATTATCACCTTTTATTATTGTATTTTCATCAAATTCAAACTTGCCTATAACACTTTCATATCTTTGTACATTTTAAATTAAAAATCTATAAGCATTATACCATGGTAAAAATACATTCTTAATAACGTCTTAAACTCCATCCTTGCTGAAATTTAATGCTTAAGCTTTAACCAATCCACTATTAATTAGGTACAATCTCATAGCATCAGCACCAAATTAATTAATAATTTCAACTTCAGGATCAGGATAATTCTTTTTACTTTTTGACATCTTTTCACCTTTTTCATTTAATACAATTCCATTTACAATTAAATTCTTATAAGGAGTATCATCACGTAAAGCTGTTGCAATAACATTCAATGTATAGAACCAACCTCTTGTTTAATCTAATCCTTCAGCAATAAAATCAGCTGGAAAGATTTTTTCAAATAACTCTTTTCTTTCAAATGGATAATGTTACTAAGCAAAAGGCATAGATCCACTTTCAAACCAACAATCAAATACTTCTTCAATTCTTCTTAATACACCTTTTCCTTATTTGCTTGGTATTGTAATATGATCAATATATTCTCTATGAAGATCTGTTATATTATCAACACCAGAAAGTTATCTCAATTCTTCAATAGAACCAATACAAACAATTTCTTCAAAATCATCACTTACCCAAATTGGAATAGGATTACCCCAAAATCTATTTCTACTGAAACACCAATCTTATGCATCATCTAACCAATTATTAAATCTTCCCTCTTGAATTGATTATGGTACCCATCTAGCCTTTTTATTGTTAATAACAAGTTTATCCTTAATTGCTGTAACTTTAATAAACCAACAATTAACTGCCTTATAAATTAATGGAGTTTAAGATCTCCAACAATATGGATAATTATGTTAAACTTATCCATCCTTTATTAATCTACCATTATTTTTAAGTGCTTTTCTAATTTCTTTATCTGCATCTTTCACTTACATTCCTGAAAAATCTTTTACTGATTCCAAAAATCTTCCACTTGAATCAATAGGTACTAAAGGATCAGATGGAGTAATAATGCCAGCCTTTAAACATGTTTTATAATCATCATCACCAAAACCAGGAGCACAATGTACAATACCAGTACCATCATCATTAGTTACAAAATTGGCAGCTAAAACTCTATAACATCCTTATTCTTTTCTTTCAGGAAAGTAATTGAATAATGGAACATATTCAATACCAACTAATTCAGAACCCTTGAATTTTTACACTACTTCATACAATTTAGCATCATTATACAATTCAACAATTCTTGATTCTGCTAAAATGTAATGAGTATTAGATGCTTTATCAAGTAATTTAACATAATCAAAATCTGGATGAACAGCTAAAGCTAAATTACTAGGTAATGTCCATGGAGTTGTTGTCCAAGCCACAAATTTAGTTTTTTCATCATTAATTAAAGGAAAAGTAACAACTATAGCTGGATCCCATACATTCTTATAATTTTATTAGGTTTCAAAATTGCTAAGAACAGTAGAACATCCATTAGAATATGGCATCACTTTACATCCTCTATATATTAACCCTTTATCCCACATTTATTTGAAAACCCACCAGACACTTTCCATAAAGGATGTATCCAATGTTTTATAATCATTATCAAAATCAATCCATCTTCCTGTTCTTCCTATTATTCTTCTCCATTCAGATGCATATCTCATTACTATTGATCTACATTCATGATTATATTTATCAATACCCATCTAAACATATAATATTTATTATAAACCTTTAAAATATCACCTCTATGTTAAATATTTAGACTTTTATCAATTTCATGTTCAACTGGTAATCCATGACAATCCCATCCAAATCTTCTCTCTACATATCTCCCATTCATTGCAAAATACCTACACACTATATCCTATATTATTTTACAAAATCATACTTTAATTGTACCAGCACACATATGACCATAATGAGGTAATCCAGTAGCAAATGGAGGTCCATCATAAAATGTAAAACGAGGACAATCTTTTGTTAATTCCAATTATTTATGAAAAGCATTGATTTATTCCCAATATTTTAGGATTCTGACTTCTTCTTCAGGGAAATTGGGTCTTTCAACAACTATTAATTAAGTCTAAGTATATACCATTAACAAAATCTGTCTTCTGAGCCAGGCACAAAAAAGTTAAGAATTTTTAGATTTTAAATTAAATCCTTTAAATCATGATAAAGAAAGTAATATGTGTACACACACAATTTATATTTATACTCATAATTCTCCATCATATAGTCCATCATTAAAGTTATCATTTAAATAGAATCGACATGTCATTATTCTTTCTAAAAATACATGTTAATCTTCTGCTAAAAATGCAGCCATCGCATTCTTATTTTCCTATTTCATACAAGGTATATTTAGTTAATTTTTTTCACTTGCATGTCTTCCCTCAATTTTCTTCTAATTTGCTAACAAAAATTTCCTTCATGAAACCATATTATCCTAACTCAGTCTTAATTTACATTTGAAATCTTCATCATAATCCTTTGTTGTAAATATATTTGATATCTTTATTTTTCGTCTATCTTTTAATAAATATTCTTTTTATTTATGCTATTTAAAAAGGTTATTCTAAAGACTATATTATATCGAAGTAAATTATTATAATCTAATGAACTAAATCTCAATCTCTCCAAAACTAAATGCATTCTTTATCACTTTTTTTGGATGATAAATGCCCTAATTGTATTTGCCCAATCCTAAACAAAATTTATATTCAAATTTCTCCATCATTTTCAATGCTTTCTCAATTCTTATTTCTATCTCATCATAAGAGGGCTATATTTCTAATTTTATTTGTTATGAATAAGAATGCTCATTTTAAGTATTTGATTGAATTATTTATCTCCTTAATTTAGATCTATATGAATGATACTCTTAAGGATTATTCATTATTGGAGTTAATTTTTTGGAGTTCTTGTAAATACAAAGAATGGTACCCAACTTTTTATTTAAGTGAAATATGTTCAATTATTATTATAAATAATAAAATAATAAAACTTTATTAGTTAATTAGTTAGTTTCTATTATAGTTATTATTATTCCAGTTATTACGCTGCTTTTGCCTATGATTATATAATTGAATTCACTATTAAACTATATTGTGAAGGAACTGCTTCTACTATTTAAAAAGGTTCTACATTTTATCATTTTAGCAAAAAGATTTTGCATAGCTCCATTATTCTAAACATTTTGTGAGGTTAAAATTTAAATTTTGAAACTAGATTATGTGCTTTCTAGTTAATTCCATTTCATTTAAAATATATTAAACTATAAATTATTTAAAATTAAGATAATCAATTTTTAATACCAATATTGTAATGTCCAGGCTTAATAAGCAAAATTATTGACCTATTTTAATTTTCATATTCTTTGGAATACTCAAGTACTTAGAACTCTTCGCCTGCAAAAAATAATAATTATATGTGTCTAAAATAATTAGATTTTAATACAGTCTAAGATGTTTTGCTAACATTGCAATCACCTGTTCATTACTATTACATTCTTCCTCCCATTTCAATAGGTTCTCTTTATCAAAAACATTTTATCCATCTTCACTTTATTCAACTAAATGCATGCTTAAATTTCTTAAAAATAGTGTTGCTAATGGTTAAAAATAACCATCCAAATCATCTTATATTTCATGTGCTTTAAATTATCTCACCAATTAATTTGAATAGTGTTCATGTTATTTATAATATTTTTCTAGGTTTCTTAAATATATTATTCTATCCCTAAATTAATTTAATAACTTTCTTTATTATTCTTCATTTCCAAATGAGATATCGTTAAGCTATATCTTAAATGGTATTCTAAAATTTTCTTAAAGAAATTAATCAAATTCTTCATCAGAATACTAATAAATTACAATCTTCATAAATTAATACCCAAAAGAAGTGTAAAAACAATTACCATCACCTCTTACATGTATCATTTTTGTGCAATATTATTATAGTTATTTTTTTATTGATAATTTCTTTATTGAATAATAATTTTATAGATCTCTCTCCTCTAATGTTTCAATTAAATAGTATTTTAAATTTTCATCAACATTTCTTTTTCTTGATGAATTATCAAGAAGTTAATTTATTAATTCTATTGATCTTGGTAATGCGAATTGTGACAAATGATTTTATGAATCTACATTTGATACAATATTAGGATAGCAAATTTCTTAAACAGTAATGGCATCAGATTCATTTGGGATTAATTAATTAGCAGGTTAAGGTTATTTTTTTTAATTTTATTAGGAGCGAAGCTTTTGAACCTTTTGAAGCTTTTTCGCAATAAATACACCAGAAATTATTACAATAACAGCATATTTAACTTTCGTTGACCTTGGTAGATTCCAGAATCTATAAAAGATCTTTTTTATTAACATCTAATAAAAATATTATGATTAAATCATGTATATGAAATTCTATTAATTTTATGGATTCATTCATTTTTTTAACTAAATAATTTTTTATTAAATGTATATATAAATATACTTTATTAATGCGCATCTTTTTAATTTTATTAATGGTTTAAATAGAGGCATAATTAAATTATTAATATTATTTCAAAATCAACTCGATTTATTTTTTTTCTTAGTCTTAACCCCAAATTTATCTCTAAGTTGCTTATCTTTTCTTTGATCAACTTCCATTTACTCTTTTACATCTTAACCTTTCTAATTATCTTTCATTTTCATATATAATAAGTCCAATCTATAGAGACAATCAGAAGGTAAGGGGCATGATTCTAACTCGAGAATATAAGGTCTAAATTAATTGATAATATGACTACCTATGAATTTCTATATCCCAATATGTAACATTATCAAATTATAAAAATGATGTCCATCTACCTTTAATATTAATATTATATGTATCTAAAATTTCTTAAGGTAAAATTTTTAATTTTATGCCTGAATTAGTTTTATGAGCTTTTAAACATTTTTAAATGCATTCTGGTGTGACCTTACAAACTTTCCCAATAAATTGATCTATCTTTTAAGATGAGGAACCAAAAAACCCAGCATTTTTATCTTTAGGATTGAATGTAATTTCAACTAATAACTAATGTTCAGGTTGGAAACAATAACTTCTTTTATGACAATTAACACTTCTTTATCCTAATAGAACTCCATAAAGCATAAATGGTTAAGCCATATAATAGTATTTGAGATTAGTATTCTAGAAATGTATTTATGAATGACCTTATTATTCACCAGCCAAACTATTAGTTCCCATATTAACCAAGGGACAGAAAGTTCCAAACAATTTATAACCTCTTCCATACATAATATAATTAGAAATAGGAGGATGATGTGAAGATTATTCTAAATATATAGGACATCCTTTAATCCTTCCTTCAAAGGTTTCTCCAATAATTGGGTTGAATGGTTTTTCTTATTATACACCCATCATAAAACTTGCCATATGGAATGAGATTGTAAGCTTTAATTATTCAAAAACATCTGTAGTTTGAGCAGCTTTTTCAAGAAAAACAGGAGCATGTCCTTAACCTCTAGCCATTCTTTCTAAAAAAGATCTTGCTTCAAAAACTTAGATAGGTAATGATACAGACATTAATGATTTTCCACTTAATAAATTTGATCCCATTCTTTTAATTATATCTAATAAGACACTTCTTTAATCACTGATTAATTTTTTATTTGTATAAATTAATCCTCCTTTTTTAGGATCAACTTCATAATATTTAGTCAACAAGAAATGACCTTCTTCTTTGGTAGTTTCTAAAAATTTGTCTAATCCATTTAGTATATTTTAATTAAATTGTCTAGAAATTGATTTTTATATAAATTATCCTGTTTAAACTAGATCTAAAATTTCTTTATATTCTTGAAGTGATTATTATTAATGTTATTCTGAAGTAATTCTTGGTATTTCAGGTACTAATTAAATAAATGAAATCTATAAATTATCAATGTCATCATCTTCATTCTTAATTAATACATGTTCTGTTTATTATTTAATATAATGATCTGCTTCAAGTATTTGATTATCTATATTTTCTAAATTGAGGAGAAATCTTTTCATTACTTCTTCTCCTTTTTCTCTATTTTCACACTCTAAATATATATCTTCAATAATTTAAGTTTTAAATTTATCTTCTTATTTAGCTTATATAAGAACACAAGATCTAGTAATTTTGTATTCATCTGTTCCTTCAACTTTATCCTTATCAATTTAATTATGATGTATTTCATTTCCAATATATTTTTTCATAATACAATATGCATTTTCATCTATTTAAAAATGCTTTTATGTGTATATCAATCTGATTTTCTCAATTTAATTGGGAATTTATGATTTTGGTTATTTTGAAAATGTATCTTATGAAAAAAATTCATGTTCAATATCTTTCAAACTTCTTGGTTTATTTTATTAAAATTTGTTGTTGTTATGTTATTATTTTTATTCCATATTAAATTCTGTAAAGATTATTGCACAATCTTTTTTGGTTGGATATATTTAATATATTGATACTTATGGACTCCAATTATCAACAAATGTATGTATTGATAATTCCTAATATATTAAAATAATCATTTTTACATCAAAAATCCTTGAAGGAGGCATTTCTGATTTTAAAAAGAATCTCATATGTAATTAATCATTTGGATCTTAATAGAGTTATTTATTTTAAGATTAAAATAGAATTTTAAATGAATGGATATCCGAAAATCCTTATAAATTTTCATGTGTATTCTCTAATATTATTTCAATATCATTCTTTTTTTTTATAACTTTATATTTACTTATAAAAATTAAGGCAATAATGGTATCATCTATCTCATACGAGATACCTAACTAGGTTTTATAGCCATTGAAGGAACTCCTTAATTTATTACTCTTTCTGATTCTGGCATAAATTAATCCCATTCTTATAATGTTTTCTCTTAATTCTCTTTTTTTATTTATATAGCCAAGTATTTCCCGTTAAAAAAATCATACCATTATAATGCATCTGATTGATTATTCCAACCAAATCTAGCCACTTTAGGTTCGATCTCTTATTGAGTTTTGAACTTTATTGCCCATTTCCCTTGATGAAATGCAACAGGATGGATAATATAATTTTGAATTAACAACTACTTTTATGTTTAACCCTTGACGTCAATATATCTGAGTATCTCTCTATATATCAAGCCCTTACCTATTATATCAAATCATATATTAAAAGTCTTTCTCCCCATCCTTTCAATACACCACTCTCTTTAAATGCACTACAACTCATTAATGCATTCTTATTATTATCGAGCATTATGATAATTAAATTTATAATATATAAAAATATCAAATAATCTCTTAAACAATTTATTCTTTATCAACGCTGATGAGATATTATAAAAAGGAACCTTTACAAGGAGCTATTTTATATAATTCTTGGCAATGTATGCTTTTTAAATTACAATAAACACAAATCTAAGCCAAAACTATTGAAAACTCTTACTCCTTCATTACATTTGTCAATTTATTAATCAATTCCTTTCTTGAATTCTCATTCCAAAAGTAACAAAATGCTACATTTCTTTCATAATAAGGATCTATTCTCAAATTCCCCAATTCTATTAGCTAATCAATTTAATTATGTAAAATCAATTGTTCTACTACTTTCTACAATTATGCCTAAGGAGTATAATTTATACTAACAAAATATTAGATCTATTTGTATGAATTAAATAATTGAATTTATTCAAAATTTATTACTCTAATATTTCCTTAAGAATTTTATTTAAACTCTCGTAATTCTCCTAATGTACTTGGATTTAAAAATTATCGATAAATTTCATCCTTTATTTTACATACAATTTATAAAGCATATGGCTTTTTGTCTTGCCTACTATGTAATTACATTTGATTTAACAATAAAGTTATACAATCTAATTGAGTTCTTATTACAGAAGCTAAGTTCTCTTATGATATATTAAATAACAAAGATTCTAAATTAACTATATATTCAAATAATAAAGTGTAAGCCTAAAATTATAATAATTAAATTACTTTTGCTTTTGATTCCATTTTTATAAGAAAACTAAAATAAGATATAATTCTGTTTTTGTTTGATAAAATTTAATATTTATCTCTTGAAAAACTAAGTAAATATTCTCCAATTTTATCTGTAGTTCTCACATCTAATCTGAATGATAATAAATTATCAACTATTAGTTTCAAAGAATCTTTGAGTTATAATTACTCATTTAGATTAATAATTTGAAATAATAAATGATGTTATTTCAATTCATT